GGACTGGAGGCTGGAGCTGAGTTTTATACTGACAGGAACAGGTGAGTAAAATGAGCTGATTGAGTTTTCAGTGACGGGAGGGGCAGAGGCAATGAGCAAGACAAGACTGACAGGAGCAGGGTGATGACAAGCATGACAGACAGGAACAGGATCATAACAATATTATTTATTTTTTACAGAAACTTTACAAAGCTGGTGTGGTGGAGATGGCCAATAAGGGCTACAACCTAAAAGCAGATGCCATCCCCATCTTAGCTGCCAAGTCTGGAACAACCATTGCTAGTAATGTAAGTTAACGACAAATTGTGCTTATCACACATGGAAGAACGTAGATTTGAAAAATAACAATCTGTTTATCATTGCAGTACAAGTACAAGCTGGCCTATGAGAAGGCACGAGGCCACCATGTTGGTTTCCGCAGCCTGCAGGACGACCCCCTCCTGGTTCACTACATGCAGGTGGCTAAGATCCAGAGCGACAAGCTCTACAAGAAGGACTACCACAAGGCCAAGCTGAAGTATCACTCTCCAGTGGACATGTGGAGTGTGGTTCAGGCCAAGCAGGCCTCTGCTGTCCAGACCATGACTGGATACAGAAATATCCAGCACACTAATTTGCTCCTCCCGGGTGCCATGAACCTGGAACTGGCTCGTAACATGCAGTTTATTGCNCAGACCATGACTGGATACAGAAATATCCAGCACACTAATTTGCTCCTCCCGGGTGCCATGAACCTGGAACTGGCTCGTAACATGCAGTTTATTGCCAGTGACGTATGTAAAGATTGTCCCTTTTATATTGTATGCAACCATGATGCATTGGCTTACAATCAGTTCTTCTGTGTGTTTTCTACCTTTAGAATGAGTATAAGAAGGATTATGACTGCTACATGAAGGGAATAGGATGGGTCCCGATTGGTTCACTTTCTGTTGAGACAGCTAAAGTGGGTGGGAACATTTTGAGTGAAAAGAAGTACCGCTCTCATCCATCGAAACACAAGTTCAGCAAACTTATGGACTCCATGGACTTGGTTCTGTCTACTGCCAACAACCAGATCATGAACAAGGTGCCATTTTTTAAATTTGAAGTGCATCCCAAGTATAATGATCCTGCAGTATTGTTTAGAACAAGGATTAATCATTTGTTTTTCTAATGTCTTTCTTTGCAGAAAGCATACACTGAGGCTTGGGAAAAAGACAAACTCAAAGTCCATGTGATGCCAGATGCTCCCGAGATCATCTTGGCTAAAGCTAATGCCCTTAATATGAGCAATGTAAGGGGAATTCATGACACTGGTTAATTGTTCTCTTTTTTACCAGCAGTTAATGCAAAATATTACTTGTATCACTATCTTACTTTTTTTTGTTTTTACAGAAACTTTATAAAGCAGGACTTGTGGAGATGGCCAATAAGGGCTACAACCTTAAACCAGATGCCATCCCTATTCTGGCTGCCAAGTCGGGTACCATTATTGCCAGTAATGTAAGCTGATAAAATAAACTTGAGACACATATTTATAGACATCTATCCAGGCTGGGTGAATGACTTAAATGTATTTGCATTCATAGTACAAGTACAAGCTGGCCTATGAGAAGGCACGAGGCCACCATGTTGGTTTCCGCAGCCTGCAGGACGACCCCCTCCTGGTTCACTACATGCAGGTGGCTAAGATCCAGAGCGACAAGCTCTACAAGAAGGACTACCACAAGGCCAAGCTGAAGTATCACTCTCCAGTGGACATGTGGAGTGTGGTTCAGGCCAAGCAGGCCTCTGCTGTCCAGACCATGACTGGATACAGAAATATCCAGCACACTAATTTGCTCCTCCCGGGTGCCATGAACCTGGAACTGGCTCGTAACATGCAGTTTATTGCTAGCGATGTATGTAAATACTTACTTTATTATATTTCAAAGGTTTTTGTTTGATAAAACTTTACAGTAATGTTTAATTTTATCTGTAACTGTTTTTCTTTGCCTTTTATAACTTTAGAATGAGTATAAGAAGGATTACGAGAGCTACATGAAGGGAATAGGATGGGTTCCGATTGGTTCTCTTGATGTTGAGAAAGCAAAAACAGCTGGTCAGGTTTTGAGTGAGAAAAAATATCGTCAACATCCCAGCAAGTTTAAATTCACCAAGGACATGCACTCTATGGATCTGACTCTGTGTGCTACCAACAACCAAATTATGGATAAGGTAGAACTAACTTTTAATGATTATTTTAAATTCACTACCTGGAGATTATTGAGCAATAATGTTTTTTTGTTTGTTTGTAGAAATCCTACATAAAAGCCTGGGATAAAGACAAGACATCCGTCCATGTAATGCCAGATGCAATGGATATTGTTCTAGCCAGAGAGAACAGAAAACACTACAGCGAGGTACAGCGTGCTACCTTCATTTCACTGAACATTTAGATGTTTTTCAATTTCTAAAGTMTCTCGCTTTTTCCTTTGCAGAAATTATACAAACTGGATAATGAGTTGGCCAAGAAGAAGGGCCATAATGTCCGTGCTGATGCTATCGCAATCCAGGCTGCCAAAGCCTCCTGTGTTATTGCTAGTGATGTAAGTGTCTGTGTGTAATTATCATCTACAAAATGTTTGTTTTCTTTACCCCAACAGATGGAAGTAATTAAAAACTGTCATGCTTTCTATTAGTACAAGTACAAGACAGGATACCGTAAGCAGGTCGGCCACCACATCGGTGCACGCTGTATCCAGGACGACCCTCTGCTCATGCTGGCTCTGAACTCAGCCAGGATAGCCAGTGATGCTCTGTACAAGAAGGACTTCAACAAGTCCAAGACCAAGTTCCACCTGCCAGTAGACATGCTAGCCTTTGAGCTGGCCAAAAAGAATCAGATTCAGGTCAACCATGCCAATTATATTACACGTCTGCATAACTGGACCTGTCTACCAGACTCAAATGATGTGGTCCAGGCTAGACATGCGTACAACATACAGAGTGATGTAAGTATGAATTTCCACCCGCTTCGGATGTTATCATCCATGAAATGGACATTATTAGGCGTTATCAGTCCCCTAGAATGGCTTCAGAATGTCCCGCCTGTGTCGGTTAGCAGGTTCCCCGRCCCATAGAATGGCTTCTGATTGTCAGCTGGTTAATATGAGGCATAAAAAATTGTTAATATGAGGCATAAAACCACTATCTGGTTAATATGAGGCATAAAACCACTATCTGGTTAATGAGGCATAAAACCACTATCTGGTCAATATGAGGCATAAAACCACTGTCTGGTTAACATGAGGCATAAAATACTGGTTAATGGGAGGCTTGAAGCCAATAAGGTTAACTTTAGAGCAAATGACATGGTTAGCGCTAAAGACTCCACCCTCCAACAGTTGTATATTGTGGCCTTCAAATAGGGCAATGGGTAGAGTGTCGGACCAGAGAGTAGGAGATCAGGGCTTGAGACTGACACGGACCAAAAAATTTACTACAATATCTTTTGGTTATTTACACATTCATTGTCATTGATATATTAACCCACTAGGGGGCACTGTCGGGACAGTCTGAAGCCTAGAAGGCACAGTAGGGACCCTCTGAAACCATTGTATGGGACTGATAACGCCTAAAAACATCCATTTCATGTACTGATAACATCAGAATCCCCAGGAATTTCTGTACAAATTTTCATTTTTTTATTTTTATGGTGACATAATACAACAACAAACCTTGTTCTTCATCCAGGCTGTGTATAAGGAGGATCTGAAGATGATGCAGGGTATCGGATGGGTGCCTATAGGGTCACTTGATGTTGAGAAGGCAAAGAATGCTGCTTTAGTCCTGAGTGAACATAAATACCGTCAGCATCCAAGCAACTTCAAGTTCAAGTGCACCACTGAGGACATGCCCATGGCACTGGCTAAGGCCAATGCTCAGATAATGAACAAGGTATGCAAAATACCTTTTCCCTCCCATGCTTTTTAGTTTATCATTTTTATAATGTTTAAATGTTTTTACTAATAATTAATAAATGTATGGTAGGCAAATAACATGGAAGCAGTTGACCCAAACAAATAAATGGAGGTTAATATTTATTACAAAATAATTATTTTCGATTAACAACAATGGCAAAGTAGATAATTATGTGAAACATTATTTTATCTAATTTAATATATTCTGTTAGTGTGTTCATTTAATTTACAGGTCGTTTTATCCAGCATAAAAAAGGGAGTTCTTGCTATGTGGCAATAATGCTAATGACTTCACTGCCATACTCCCTAATTTAGAATCCTAAAGGAATTTTACTTTAACACAAAGAAAAAACAAAGCATCATCTGCATAGTCAAAAACCTTCTTGCATTGTATGTTTTTTTAGAGAAGCAAAGCCTAAAGATAAATGTATTTTTGTTCCTGATTCTTTTTCATTTTTGTTATCTATGTACTTATTTGGATACAGCCTAGTTTAAAAACTAGTTAGTCTGCCTGGGACACTAACAGAATACAAACTTAACAGAAAAAGATCTGTTCACTGCTTTACTGCATTACTCTGATAAATCACGTCCAGCTATTCTTAGCTAAAGCACAGAACTATTACGCAATGTTCAATGTTGGTTTATAAGTTTGAGTGGTTACTAAGGAAAAATAAAATATTTACAGAAAACCTATACTGAAGCTTGGGACAAAGACAAGACCAGCATTCACGTCATGCCCGATGCCATTGACATCGTTCTGGCCAAAGCAAACAAAGTCATCTACAGCGAGGTGAGTCCTTTTAATGAAAAGTAAACAGCAGATCCATAGTCTCTGAAATGTAATGCTTTGTGATACATTTTAAAGAAAATGGCTGAATATGTTTTTATTTGTTTGCACAGAAAGCGTACAAGCAGGCAAATGAGGATGCCAAGAAAAAGGGCTACGACATGCGCAATGATGCCATTTCCATTAAAGCAGCAAAGGCCTCCAGGGACATTGCCAGCGACGTAATATATATAATTTTTTTCTCTCTATTTTTGCCATTATATATTGCTCTACAAACAAAAAAATACACTTTCTTATACTTACTGACACTAAATTGGTGCACAATTTATTAGTAAGTTGGTTTGTTCTTTATTTGTAGTACAAGTACAAAACAGGATACCGTAAGCAGGTTGGTCACCACATTGGTGCCCGAAGTATCCAGGATGACCCTCTGATGATGCTGGCTCTCAACTCAGCCAAGATCGCCAGTGATGCTCTGTACAAGAAGGACTTCAACAAGTCCAAGACCAAGTTCCACCTGCCAGTGGACATGTTGATTCTTGAACTGGCCAAAAAGAACCAGATCCAAGTCAATGATTTTAACTACAGAACTCACTTGCACCAGTGGACCTGTCTGCCGGACTCCAACGATGTGGTCCAGGCCAGGCATGCTTATGACTTACAGAGTGATGTAAGTGTTGTTCCTTAAAGTTTTGTCATGTTRATAACTTTTGTTAGATTGAAATGTTATTCGAATATAAATTATATTTGTTTTGCTCAGGCTGTGTACAAAGAGGACCTKAGGTTGATGCAGGGTATTGGATGGGTGCCCATAGGGTCTCTAGATGTTGAGAAGGCGAAGAAAGCTGCTGAGGTCCTGAGTGAACGAAAGTATCGTCAGCATCCAAGCAACTTCAAATTCAAGTGCACCACTGAGGACATGCCAGTAGTACTTGCTAAGTCCAACGCTCAGATAATGAACAAAGTATGTTTTCAAAAGCCCTCGAAGTGCAAATTCATTCAAAATAATTTCACTGAATCATAAATATGACATAGGAAAATTGMTTTTCACATTAAAAGAGCTCAAATCCTACATTTATCCACCTCTGCAGAGAGCCTACATCGAAGCCTGGGAGAATGAGAAGACAAAGATCCATGTCATGCCTGATGCCATGGACATTCTCTTAGCCAAAGCCAACAATGTCAACTACAGTGTGGTAAGATGTTTTAATGTTACCAAATTTGATCTGAAATCATTATATTATTGTCAATTTAATTCAAATATGTTACGTAAAAAATCAAATGCTTTGTATGTAAAACAAAATGCTACAGACTTCACATCTATGGAATGTTTTTGATCATTTTCAGAAAAGGTACAAGCAGGCAAATGAAGACGCCAAGAAGAAGGGCTATGACATGCGTGGTGATGCCGTTTCCATTAAAGCAGCAAAGGCCTCCAGAGATATCGCTAGTGATGTAAAATATTTTTATTTTTTCCCTTTGCAATTATATAAGATTCTAAAAATTTGAAAAACTGCACAAACAAATTATTTACACTTACTAGTACTAATAAGATGCACAATACGTATATCAAAGCAGGATTGTTACAACACAATTACTTTACTATATCTCTACGTTTTGGATAAGTTGGTTTGTTTTTCATTTGTAGTACAAGTACAAGACTGGATACCGTAAACAGGTCGGTCACCACATTGGTGCCCGCAGTGTCCAGGATGACCCTCTGATGATGCTGGCTGTCAACTCAGCCAAGATCGCSAGTGATGCTCTGTACAAGAAGGACTTCAACAAGTCCAAGACTAAGTTCCACCTGCCAGTGGACATGTTGAACCTGGAGCTGGCCAAGAAATGCCAGATCCAAGTCAATGACTTCAACTACAGAACTCACCTGCACCAATGGACCTGTCTGCCGGACTCCAACGATGTGGTCCAGGCCAGGCATGCTTATGACCTACAGAGTGATGTGCGTTTACATTTTTGCATTTATTCTGTGGAAATATAATTACATTCAAATACATATTTGCAGTGTCTCATTAAGCACCGTTTATCACATGAATTACTTCTTGTTTTGCTCAGGCTGTGTACAAAGAGGACCTAAGGTTGATGCAGGGTATTGGATGGGTGCCCATAGGGTCTCTAGATGTTGAGAAGGCGAAGAAAGCTGCTGAGGTCCTGAGTGAACGAAAGTATCGTCAGCATCCAAGCAACTTCAAATTCAAGTGCACCACTGAGGACATGCCAGTAGTTTTGGCAAAGGCCAATGCCCAGACAATGAACAAGGTATAACACCAAAGCCAACAATTTAGTGGATTATTACTGCKTATAGAAAAGATTTATTATGTGTAAACTTGAAAATGTTACATTTGATGTAAATTCTCATGTTTTTGATTTTTGTCACTGTAGAAAGCCTACATCGAAGCCTGGGAGAATGATAAGACAAAGATCCACATCATGCCCGATGCCATGGACATTCTCTTAGCCAAAGCCAACAATGTCAACTACAGTGTGGTACGTTAAGGTCAAACACGTGTTGGGAACAAATTTCTATAGCACTTTCAATAGTAAAGACATGTACTTTACTTGTGTTTGTTTGCAGAAAAAGTACAAGCAGGCAAATGAAGATTCCAAGAAGAAGGGCTATGACCTGCGTGGTGATGCCGTATCCGTCATTGCAGCCAGGGCATCCCGGGACATTGCCAGTGATGTAAGAGATTTTTCATTCTGGTCAATTACTGCACCTTAAAAAAGGAAGGTAACTGTGTTATATATTATTGTGTATGCCAGTGGTTCACAACCTTTGTAGACTTGTGTACCTCCTGAGCCATTTTGTCATACCACTAGTGCCCCCGCTGTCAAATGTAATGATAATTCTCCAAAACTGTAATGTCCAACAACTGATTGTTAAATGAAAATTATTTATTTAACCCCCTATAATGTTTAATTCTCGGGCATTTTATTCTTTACAACTCAAATTAAACATAAAGTTAAATATGTTGCCTTGAAAGTGAATAAGTAATTAAATAAATAAACCAGGTAATGGCAGGTGCAGAAAGCAGCAACGTCCAAAATACATCAAATACCTCAAATGAGGAAATTCCTTATGATTCCGCGTTCTACACTTGATTCCATTTTGTGTCAATTTTGTGATTCCGTTCGCATTTTATGCATTGTGGAAATCATAGMTTCCTACATATCTGTCCTATTTATTTATTTATTTACACACCTGGGAAATTTTTCAACGTATCCCCTGTAATATGCTCGGTACCCCTTACCCTGGTTGGGAATCACTGGTGTATAGTATGAAAATGGTGTGACCTATTTGCAAATGTTATTTTTTATAAATGTCAAGCTAAATGAATGAAAGCTAGATATAGTTGTCAAAACAATTGTATCCACTGAATTCTTAAAAAATATTTTGGTCTTTGTTTAGTACAAGTACAAGACAGGATACCGCAAACAGGTCGGCCACCACATCGGTGCGCGCTGCGTCCAGGATGATCCTCTCATCATGCTGGCTCTGAACTCAGCCAAGATCGCCAGTGATGCTCTGTACAAGAAGGACTTCAACAAGTCCAAGACCAAGTTCCACCTGCCAGTGGACATGTTGAACCTGGAGCTGGCCAAGAAATGCCAGATCCAAGTCAATGACTTCAACTACAGAACTCACCTGCACAACTGGACCTGTCTGCCGGACTCCAACGATGTGGTCCAGGCTAGAACTGCATATGACCTACAGAGTGATGTGCGTCTTACACTTGTATTTGTTTGTAATCACCTCTGATTTTATGTTTCTATCAGAAAGCAAAATATCTGCTGTTCTGCATTTCAGGCTGTCTATAAAGCTGACCTAAAGTGGCTCCAGGGTCTGGGCTGGGTCCCCATTGGTTCCCTGGATGTGGAGAAAGCCAAGAAGGCTGCAGAGATTTTGACTGACAGGACATACCGCCAGCACCCTAGCACCCTTCGTTTCACTAGTCCCATTGATGCAATGAACATTGTGCTGGCAAAGAATAATGCCATAACAATGAACAAGGTAAAACAAACCTTGATCTAGATTTAGAAACTGTTTTATCATTTTTTCTTGGGTAGAAAGCTTCAAGTAAGAACTGTTTGTGGTTTGTTGCAGCGCCATTACACAGAAGCATGGGAGAATGAAAAGACTAAGGTGCACGTCATGCCTGACACTCCTGAGATCATGCTCTCTCAACAAAATGCTATCAACATGAGCAAGGTAAGTCAATTATTTTTTACAAAGTCAAGAAGAAGATCAATCACACCACATTTGATTTCTTATCTTAGCAGCAGTCATTTCAAAAAGTTTTTCTCTTGTAGGTTTGATTGTTTACTGTTATTTCAATAAGAATTGGAGGCTGTTTTGTTTACATTTTCAGTTCAATAAATGTAAAAGAGATAGAATTCTTGAAATGAGTTCTGAGACACTGTCAGCGATTATGAAATAATTTTAAAATGTTTTTTTTTCTTGTAGAAACTTTACAGACAAGGTTTTGAAGAAACCATCAGTAAAGGCTACTTCCTTCCTCCAGACTCAGTCTCTGTGAAGGCTGCTAAAGCTTCAAGAGACATCGTCAGCGATGTGAGTCACTTGTATTGTTTTATGTGTCTGTTTATTTAGCTAACATAATGTGAAAAATGTTCCAATTGTATAACCAATATTCTTCTTTATTCATCAGTACAAGTACAAGACAGGATACCGTAAYCAGGTTGGTCACCATGTCGGTGCCCGCTGTGTCCAAGATGATCCTCTCATCATGCTGGCTCTGAACTCAGCCAAGATCGCCAGTGATGCTCTGTACAAGAAGGACTTCAACAAGTCCAAGACTAAGTTCCACCTGCCAGTYGACATGTTGAACCTGGAGCTGGCCAAGAAATGCCAGATCCAAGTCAATGACTTCAACTACAGAACTCGCCTGCACCAGTGGACCTGTCTGCCGGACTCCAACGACGTGGTCCAGGCCAGGAAAGCCTATGATCTTCAGAGTGATGTGAGTCCCTCCATTAGTTCACCATGTCATGTTCCTGCTTTTGTGTAATCTAAAAATCAAGCTTTTTTCCCACAGGCTGTGTACAAAGCTGACATGGATGAGGTCGTTGGTGTAGGGTGGATCCCCATTGGTTCCTTGGATGTGGTGAAAGCCAAGAATGCTGCAAAGATTCTCAGTGATCGTCTGTACAGACAGAAACCAGACACACTGAAGTACAAAACTGACATGACCGCCATGCCCATGGTCTTAGCCAAAACAAATGCCGAAACCATTAATAAGGTAATCATAAAGTTACAAAGTCTTGGTTTGTACTTCATCTAATTTGTTAAGACTCTTTGTGATGTTTGTGTTTTTTTTTTTCATCTCTCCACAGAGAAACTACATTGCTGCATGGGAAGCCGATAAACTTAAGACCCACGTGACACCGGACATTCCGGAGATTTTGCTGTCCAGAGCTAATGCTTACAACATCAGCAATGTATGTGTAATTGATTTTCAGCCGCTTTTTRTTTCTCCATTCCTTTTACATTTTATAATTATTTTGTGTTGTCTATATGTTTCATTTTAGAAAATCTACAGAGAGGCTGTTGAGAAGATGTTCAGAAAGGGCTACAATATGAAGCCTGATGCTGTCTCTATTATTGCTGCCAAACATGGAAGAGACATCATTAGTGATGTATGGAACATGTCACTCAATACGTTTATGATTTTCCTTCTATAATTAACATATTTACAGTGTATATGTATACTTCTGTTTACAATTGTGTCTTATCTCCACACAGTACAAGTACAAGTCAGGATTCCGCAAACAGTGTGGTCACCATATCGGAGCCCTGAGTGTCCAGGATGACCCTCTCATCATGCTGGCTATGAACTCAGGCAAGATTGTCAGCGATGTTCTGTACAAGAAGGACTTCAACAAGTCCAAGACCAAGTTCCACCTGCCAGTGGACATGTTGAACCTGGAGCTGGCCAAGAAATGCCAGATCCAAG